TCTGTATACTGTATACTGGCTAACTACAGAAACACTACCAGTACATCAGTATAGCCCGCGGAGGCTACGGAGGTAACTCTCTTATATCTGTATACTGTATACTGGCTAACTACAGAAACACTACCAGTACATCAGTATAGCACGCGGAGGCTACGGAGGTAACTCTTATATCTGTATACTGGCTAACTACAGAAACACTACCAGTACATCAGTATAGCCCGCGGAGGCTACAGAGGTAACTCTTTTATCTGTATACTGTATACTGGCTAAATACAGAAACACTACCAGTACATCAGTATAGCCCGCGGAGGCTACGGAGGTAACTCTCTTATATCTGTATACTGTATACTGGCCAACGACAGAAACACTACCAGTACATCAGTATAGCCCGCGGAGGCTACGGAGGTAACTCTCTTATATCTGAATACTGTATACTGGCTAACTACATAAACACTACCAGGACATCAGTATAGCCCGCGGAGGCTGCGGAGGTAACTTTTATATCTTTATACTGGCTAACTACAGAAACACTACCGGTACATCAGTATAGCCCGCGGAGGCTGCGGAGGTAACTCTTATATCTGCATACTGGCTAACTACAGAAACACTGCCAGTACATCAGTATAGCCCGCGGAGGGTGCGGAGGTAACTCTGATATCTGTATACTGCCTAACTACAGAAACACTACCAGTACATCAGTATAGCCCAACGAGGCTACGGAGGTAACTCTCTTATATCTGTATACTGTATACTGGCTAACTACATAAACACTACCAGTACATCAGTATAGCCCGCGGAGGTTGCGGAGGTAACTCTTATATCTATATACTGGCTAACTACAGAAACACTACCAGTACATCAGTATAGCCCAACGAGGCTACGGAGGTAACTCTCTTATATCTGTATACTGTATACTGGTTGACTTTTTCCCTACGCCGTTAAACTAAAAAAGAGCTAGTGTTAATTTTGTCTTTTACATTTGATTCCTTTGTTTGTTATTTTGTTTACTAATGTTCAATGTAACGAAAAATGGCCTCGTAACAGAAGGTGAAAACGGTGAAAGTTTTACTGCGGTGAAAATTACCCGGTATACGGTACTGTTAATGATAAAAGTTCAAAATGTTTTTACTATTATTGCACCATATAACCTTGCAACTTTCAGGTTGTGCAATTTGCCTTCAACCCTGGGAAAAGAGCTCAATAAATACAACACTATCTTACAAATATGATTTGTCTAAAATAAGCCATATATTATCCTGATACCTCTGTATTAACATAGGTTTGACCGTTTGTTTTGTATGTTGTCAATTTGCTGTACAGGACAGCCTATAGATTCAGGATATTTTATTTAATGTCTTGAATATTCATCCTTTAATATTGATACTATTAATGAATATTCATTGACACTGAGTGAGTCATGATAACAATATTTATTTGTTTACGTCCAGCTGTGGTCCAGGTTCTACGCGAGAACGTGATAGCAGACCTCGGTGAGGAGTACACTAGATTACTGGAAGTGTGTAGCATGGACGCCTGTGGCAGTGCCAGTGATGTGGAAAACGGAGAAGATTTCACACATGGCCTCAAGGTATATAGTATAAATCACCCGCGTTTTGTGGGGTTTCTATGAGGTCAGACATCTTTGAATTCCTCTTCTATTGACTATAAATTCAAGCAATGGGAATCAGTTTCAAAATCAAATTCATTGACAGGATTATGTTATTAACTTGTGATCGATGCGTGATCACATGAAAGGGTCTGTAATATATATGTCTAATTAAAACACTATACAAGTTCAATGAAGACATTTGAAATATGTTTATGCATAAAATATTAAACTTTTGAGCCAGATCATTGGTTTTGGTAAAAAAGGAAAACCTACTAGCGTTTTTATTTGATTGATATTCAGAATATTGCTATATCATTAAGTTTTTTCTGTCATTTTGATGTGATTTGTCTTATATTAAATATATTTGTATATCCGGCCCTTGTTCCAGGGTGAAGCTGGCGAAGGATCATTATTGGGAAAGATCTCCAATGTAGTGAAGAGTAAAGGGGCAGAGATGAAGCAGAAACTCACTGACTATATCAAAAACGAACACCAGCTTCCAGAGAGGTGAGTCAGGCTGCAGGCATATATCTATAGAAAAGTGGAGGTTCATTAACATATATCTATAGAAAAGTGGAGGTTCATTGACATATATCTATAGAAAAGTGGAGGTTCATTAACATATATCTATAGAAAAGTGGAGGTTCATTAACATATATCTATAGAAAAGTGGAGGTTCATTAACATATATAGAAAATTTGAGGTTCATTAACATATATCTATAGAAAAGTGGAGGTTCATTAACATATATCTATAGAAAAGTGGAGGTTCATTAACATATATCTATAGAAAAGTGGAGGTTCATTAACATATATCTATAGAAAAGTGGAGGTTCATTAACATATATAGAAAATTTGAGGTTCATTAACATATATCTATAGAAAAGTGGAGGTTCATTAACATATATCTATAAAAAAGTGGAGGTTCATTAACATATATCTATAGAAAAGTGGAGGTTCATTAACATATATCTATAGAAAAGTGGAGGTTTATTAACATATATCTATAGAAAAGTGGAGGTTCATCAACATATATATCTATAGAAAAGTGGAGGTTCATTAACATATATCTATAGAAAAGTGGAGGTTCATTACCAATATTGTGAGAGGAAGGTTTGACATAAATTGCAGTAATAACCTTTGGTTGCTGTAAGAAACTTAACAAGAAACTTAACATGGTTCGTCATTGTGCTACACAAGATCTGCAAACCTCTCAGAAACATAGTGTGAACAGTGTGTTTGATTTGAATTTCCAATTGAATATGTCATAATGGCAAAACACAAATTTAGAAAGTTTCACTTGAAGTGTTAAGGTTACAGCCTCATATTAAACATTTGTGATTAAAATTGTATCAGTTGTCAGCTTGTCTTGGCCTTTTGTGATTATTTGTTAGCTGTCAGCCTCGGCCTGTTGTGACCATTATTACAAACATCGTTGTTATGTATGGGTGACTGCTGTTGTAGACATGTCAGTAACACAGACAGGGTGGGCAAGCGCTACCGGAACATGGAGAACGTCTTCTCCATTGGTGATGATGATGATGGTAAGTAGCCACAGATCTGTAATGATAATCCAAAGTGTTCACTCTAAACCAATAATCACTGTGACGTGTACTGGGAACCAACTTATCAGAGGTGTTGTACGCACAGTCTACGGCAAACTAACTCTACTCCACACTAAACGTGACGCTAGAAATAACAATATGGGTGTTGTTTGTCTTTATATTTCCCATCCATATTATTAAGTCTACTTTATATCAAATGTCGTATTTAACTAAAAGCATCCCTATGTGGTGCAGATTCAAAATTATACAGATGGAAAAGCTGACCCCCTTGGGGGCTGAGGGGCGAGCCAAAATGGGGTAGTTTGGCCATATTGTATTAAGGTAATAGGATTGTGACGCCATTTCTCAGTAGAATTTCTTCAAACTTTGTAGTTGAATTGGTTTGAAGTAAAGAAAATTTTCTGCCACGAAAAAAATATAGGTTGTCAGATTTTGAAGGTTTTTAAATGGAAATTTTATGTAAAAATGGAGTGAATTTTGAAAAAAAATGAAAGACAATCTTTTACAAAATAATGTCAAAAAAAACAATACTGACATAGATTAGTATTGCATTAATGTATATCCATTTAATAAATGCTGAAGTTGTGTAAGATTAATTACATATAAACGATTAAAAATTGACATTTTATAATAAAACCATATACAAATAGTAATTGCATGCAAGAGTTATCGTTCTTGAAAAACTTCACAGTAGTGAAATAGGTAGCCGGTTTCCTGAAGTACAGAAAAATGGACAAATGTGACTCATTGATAAAAAAAACCTGATTTAATGCCTGGAATGCTTTGAAATACATTAATATTGAGAGAAAACATTTGTCTGTCAAAAATAAACAATATTCATCAGTTTAATATTAAACATTAAAATATGCGGAAATTGTGATACTGTCTCCCTACATTGGATTTTCAACTAGGGATGTACTTCCTATTTCCGTTTATCAATACACTCCTGTGACCTTAAGGGACTTCTCAGATGGTTGGTATTCAAAATTGTACAAATGTAGGGGCTGATAGAAATTCAATCGCAAAACTGTAAAGTTTTTTTTATTACATACCAAGTGATTCTTACTGAAGTGATACAGCCAGTTTTATTACAGACCTGGCAAATCTTACTGTAGTGATACAGCCAGTTTTATTACATACTTGGTGAAGGGCTAGACATTTAAAAATCTAATCCCTTGGGTTGAGATTTTTGTCTCGCTGCCACGAAGTAGCAGTAGTGAGACAAAGGTGTTGCTATGACGGCGGCGTCAACATTCAGTTTTTGCGTTCAAGTTAGTTTCACTGAAGGTATAAGTGCTAGACCAACCAAACCTGGACTATAGATGCATCTTAGGTAATACATCTCAGCCCATGCATCTAATGCTGGATGCGGCCTATCCTTCATGGTCCATTGACTTTGTCAGCATCTCCATCAACATTTAGTTTTTGCGTTTAAGTTAGTTTCTCTGATATGTGCACTGATGGTCAAAGTTGGGCAGAGGTGAGACATATCAATCCGAATGGCTTGTTCTGTCTTAGCCCTAAGTTGGGAAACGATTCTATTAATCCCTGGTTAGCTGTGAGGTGTAGATTATTTAAACCTGGTTAGCTGTGAGGTGTAGATTATTTAAACCTGGTTAGCTGTGAGGTGTAGAACATTTTAACCCTGGTCGGAAAACTAATGTTGGATTTAAAATAATCATGAATATATTTTCTTTACCTTGAATGATCACTGTACATGTTTTAATGTGAGTGAAGACACACTAAGTAGGACCATGCTTATCATGAAGTCCTGTGTTATGCCCCGGGCGATACGGTTGTGCTTGGTATACCTGATAATGACCAGTGGGCACTGATATAGAACAGTTGTTAATAAGAAAAATGATGTTTACTTTGCAGCTGAAGATCCGACAATGGGCTCATCCGACGATGAGAGGAAGGAAACGATAAGTCTGGAGACTTGGCTGAAGAAACCAAACATGGTGTACACATGTAAATGTCAGGAGGTTATCTCCAACGGTTACATGTATCCTACGTAAGTCATCTCCAACAGATACATGTATCCTACATAAGTTATCCCCAACAGATACATGTATCCTACATAAGTTATCTACAACAGATACATGTATCCTACGTAAGTTATCTCCTACGGTTACATGTATCCTACATAAGTTATCTCCAACAGATACATGTATCATACAAAGTTATCTCCAACAGATACATGTATCCTACATAAGTTATCCCCAGCAAATACATGTATCCTTCATAAGTTATCTACAACAGTTACATGTATCCTACATAAGTTATCCCCAACAGATACATGTATCCTACATAAGATATCCCCAACAGATACATGTATCCTACATAAGTTACCAACGGTTACATGTATCCTACGTAAGTCATCTCCAACAGATACATGTATCCTACATAAGTTATCCCCAGCAAATACATGTATCCTTCATAAGTTATCTACAACAGTTACATGTATCCTACATAAGTTATCCCCAACAGATACATGTATCCTACATAAGTTACCAACGGTTACATGTATCCTACGTAAGTCATCTCCACCAGATACATGTATCCTACATAAGTTATCCCCAACAGATACATGTATCCTACAAAAGTTATCTCCAACACATGTATCCTATGTAAGTTATCTACAACAGATACATGTATCCTACGTAAGTTATCTCCAACAGATACATGTATCCTTCATAAGTTATCCCCAACAGATACATGTATCCTTCATAAGTTATCTACAACAGTTACATGTATCCTACATAAGTTATCCCCAACAGATACATGTATCCTACATAAGATATCCCCAACAGATACATGTATCCTACATAAGTTACCAACGGTTACATGTATCCTACGTAAGTCATCTCCAACAGATACATGTATCCTACATAAGTTATCTCCAACAGATACATGTATCATACAAAGTTATCTCCAACAGATACATGTATCCTACATAAGTTATCTCCGACGGTTACATGTATCCTATGTAAGTTATCTCCAATAGATACATGTATCCTACATAAGTTATCTACAACAGATACATGTATCCTACGTAAGTTATCTACAACAGATACATGTATCCTACATAAGTTTTCTCCAACAGATACATGTATCCTACATAAGTTATCTCCAACAGATACATGTATCCTACATAAGTTATCTCCAACAGATACATGTATCCTACATAAGTTATCTCCAACAGATACATGTATCCTACATAAGTTATCTCCAACAGATACATGTATCCTACATAAGTTATCTCCAACAGATACATGTATCCTACATAAGTTATCTCCAACAGATACATGTATCCTACATAAGTTATCTCCAACAGATACATGTATCCTACATAAGTTATCTCCAACAGATACATGTATCCTACATAAGTTATCTCCAACAGATACATGTATCCTACATAAGTTATCTCCAACAGATACATGTATCCTACATAAGTTATCTCCAACAGATACATGTATCCTACATAAGTTATCTCCAACAGATACATGTATCCTACATAAGTTATCTCCAACAGATACATGTATCCTACATAAGTTATCTCCAACAGATACATGTATCCTACATAAGTTATCTCCAACAGATACATGTATCCTACATAAGTTATCTCCAACAGATACATGTATCCTACATAAGTTATCTCCAACAGATACATGTATCCTACATAAGTTATCTCCAACAGATACATGTATCCTACATAAGTTATCTCCAACAGATACATGTATCCTACATAAGTTATCTCCAACAGATACATGTATCCTACATAAGTTATCTCCAACAGATACATGTATCCTACATAAGTTATCTCCAACAGATACATGTATCCTACATAAGTTATCTCCAACAGATACATGTATCCTACATAAGTTATCTCCAACAGATACATGTATCCTACATAAGTTATCTCCAACAGATACATGTATCCTACATAAGTTATCTCCAACAGATACATGTATCCTACATAAGTTATCTCCAACAGATACATGTATCCTACATAAGTTATCTCCAACAGATACATGTATCCTACATAAGTTATCTCCAACAGATACATGTATCCTACATAAGTTATCTCCAACAGATACATGTATCCTACATAAGTTATCTCCAACAGATACATGTATCCTACATAAGTTATCTCCAACAGATACATGTATCCTACATAAGTTATCTCCAACAGATACATGTATCCTACATAAGTTATCTCCAACAGATACATGTATCCTACATAAGTTATCTCCAACAGATACATGTATCCTACATAAGTTATCTCCAACAGATACATGTATCCTACATAAGTTATCTCCAACAGATACATGTATCCTACATAAGTTATCTCCAACAGATACATGTATCCTACATAAGTTATCTCCAACAGATACATGTATCCTACATAAGTTATCTCCAACAGATACATGTATCCTACATAAGTTATCTCCAACAGATACATGTATCCTACATAAGTTATCTCCAACAGATACATGTATCCTACATAAGTTATCTCCAACAGATACATGTATCCTACATAAGTTATCTCCAACAGATACATGTATCCTACATAAGTTATCTCCAACAGATACATGTATCCTACATAAGTTATCTCCAACAGATACATGTATCCTACATAAGTTATCTCCAACAGATACATGTATCCTACATAAGTTATCTCCAACAGATACATGTATCCTACATAAGTTATCTCCAACAGATACATGTATCCTACATAAGTTATCTCCAACAGATACATGTATCCTACATAAGTTATCTCCAACAGATACATGTATCCTACATAAGTTATCTCCAACAGATACATGTATCCTACATAAGTTATCTCCAACAGATACATGTATCCTACATAAGTTATCTCCAACAGATACATGTATCCTACATAAGTTATCTCCAACAGATACATGTATCCTACATAAGTTATCTCCAACAGATACATGTATCCTTCATAAGTTATCTACAACAGTTACATGTATCCTACGTAAGTTATCTCCAACAGATACATGTATCCTACATAAGTTATCTGCAATAGATACATGTATCCTACATAAGTTATCTCCAACAGATACATGTATCCTACATAAGTTATTTCCAATAGATACATGTATCCTACATAAGTTATCTCCAACAGATACATGTATCCTACATAAGTTATCTCCAATAGATACATGTATCCTACATAAGTTATCTCCAACAGATACATGTATCCTACGTAAGTTATCTCCAACAGATACATGTATCCTTCATAAGTTATCTCCAACAGATACATGTATCCTACATAAGATATCCCCATCAGATACATGTATCCTTCATAAGTTATCTACAACAGATACATGTATCCTACGTTAGTTATCTCCAACAGATACATGTATTCTACATAAGTTTTCTCCAACAGTTACATGTACCATAACGAGGAAGATGCAGTTTGGAATTTTGTAAGAATTTTACGATGTGTTATACAGTTTCTTTTTCTCGATCCACAGATATCTTTTTGTGACAGACTCCCATCTGTATGTCCTTCGAGAGATCACCTCTCGTAAAGGCATGGCGCACATCCAGGCACGACGAGCACTCGGCAGCATTGTCAAAATTACATCAAAAAAGAGACATCCGGAACTGATCACGTTTAAATACGGGTGTACGGAGGACGATAACTCTATAACTGTGTCAGACTTGGAGCGATTCTTAATTCCAAAAGCAGGCGAGGCAACAAAAGTGATAAAGACACAGATTATGAAAGTGCTTGATGCACTTGAGCGGTGACAATGATTGGCTGTTGTTGATATGCCCTCTTGTGTGTGCAAGAATGAGGGTTATTTTGTTTGTTATATTTAGGGTTAATTTTTAGAATGTGATGATTTTTGAAATTTCCAAGATATCTGACGGTGAATATTAGAGAGCTTTTAGCAGATCATGATGAGTTCTCAACATCAACTCTTGCATTGGACACAGTTTTAATGACTGTTATAGAGGGGGGGGGGGGGGGGGGGGGCATCATTTCCCAATAACGTATTTTGACCTCAGGGTCACCTTACCATCGGGATCAAAATACCATACTACAATGGTATTCACTACATAACTATTTAGAACAGGAGTACTTTATAGAGTTTGCAAGCAGAATTATAAAGTTCTAATTTTCCAGATGCCCTGTCAATGAAAGAAATCCAATGACCTCCCTTGGAGTTGTTAGACCTGGTGTTACTTTGATGTTTGTACCTCAATGGTAGATCTTGTGACATAATGAATACAGTGTTACACTGAGTTACCACACCTGTTCCTGTGAAGTCAACTTGTGTAGGGGGTTTACTGGGGCTTATCTCATTAGTATCTAAAATCTTGTTTTATAAACTGATTGCAGTAAACATTTAAATTCAAGTTCCAAGCCACTTGTTATTTTAGATAGGATAAGTAATAATCAAAAGAATTTAGTATGTGAGGCCCGGTTTGATGGTGAATGCTAGCCGTGCGTATTTACACACAATTAATGAGGTCATAATGGACTACGATTCATCTAAAACATGTCCTGAAACTGGGGGTTATGTATTCCACGAATTTACCTCTTATTATTGAAGCACACATCTCTTTCATGATTTTGTAAAAGGGCAGTGTTGTTATCTAGGTGGAATACTGTAAAATTAATGTCATGCTTTTTGAACATGAAAATCTGTGAGTACTAAGTGTAATTGTTTGTAGTGTGTAGCTACGACTGATGTTTGTACCTAAATGTATCGGGTATTCACTCCAAGCTTGTCTGTGTAGCGACTGATGTTTGTACCTAAATGTATCAGGTATTCACTCCAAGCCTGTCTGTGTAGCGACTGATGTTTGTACCTAAATGTATCGGGTATTCACTCCAAGCTTGTTTGTGTAGCGACTGATGTTTGTACCTAAGTGTATCGGGTATTCACTCCAAGCTTGTCTGTGTAGCTACGACTGATGTTTGTACCTAAATGTATCGGGTATTCACTCCAAGCTTGCCTGGAGATATCTCTAACTAGGGATTGGAAATCTGTGATATCAAAATTAAACTTTACACCTTTTAATGAAAGACAAAAGTAAGTAATTTTGACCTCTGACCTATTATTGTGTGGTATGTTTCACCTTTGACCTTGTTTGTATGGACATAAGACATTATGTTGATAGTCAACAATTGTAGTTAATATTTCTGTCATAAAATAGTTTTGTTTAAGATATATGGTATGAAGAACTTTTACAGATTTGGAAAATACCTATAACTTGGATTAATGAGAAATGAGTGTGTAATACTAATGTATACTGAGAAACTTTTGCCTTAAATCTAAATACGCCGAGTGTTAAATTTTACCTTTCACCGGTAAAATCTAAACATGCCCAGTGTTAAATGTTACCTGTCATCGGTAAAATCTAAATACGCCGAGTGTTAAATTTTACCTTTCACCGGTAAAATCTTAACATGCCCAGTGTTAAATGTTACCTGTCATCGGTAAAATCTAAATATGCCGAGTGTTAAATTTTACCTTTCACCGGTAAAATCCAAACATGCATAGTGTTAAATTTCACCTTTCACCGGTAAAATCCAAACACGCCCAGTGTTAAATTTTACCTTTCACTGGTAAAATCGAAACATGCCCAGTGTTAAATTTTACCTTTCACCGGTAAAATCTAAACAAGCCCAGTGTAAAATTTTACCTTTCACTGGTAAAATCCAAACACGCCCAGTGTTAAATTTTACTTTTCACCGGTAAAATCAAAACAAGCCCAGTGTTAAATTTTACCTGTCATCGGTAAAATCTAAACACGTCCAGTGTTAAATTTTACCTGTCATCAGTAAAATCTAAACAAGCCCAGTGTAAAATATCACCAGTAAAATCTAAACACGCCCAGTGTTAAATTTTACCTTTCACATTATAACTTCTGTATATGGTACGTTGTGTACTGATATTCACGATAAATTTTCCTGAATGCCGACGTCAAAAAAGGCAGGAGTTAAAACTGCGGTGAACATTTCCTGTTACATAACTTAGGTTTGTTTTTATGGTGCTGTATAACACAGTACTCAGTGTTATTTTTATTGGTCTGACATTTCTGTCACCTTACTTGTTATTTATTATAATTTTGATTTAAATTGATGTCTTTTTTAAGTTGTTCTTCATGAAGTTCTATAGTCATAAAACCAAGCGGGTGTTGAGTGTTGGTCCATTAAATATTGAGGGTAGGAATGAAACTGGAAATATCTAAATGGTAATGTGTGAGGGGAAACTTCAATGGTTTGTATAGATTGTGGTTTATTTGGGGAATGAAATGTAATATCTTCGGGAAGTATTGTTTATTTGGTACAAGCCTCACATCATGTCGGGCTATTTCATACTTCTATACAATGGTAGTGGCACTGTCTATCCCTCAGACTTACAGAGGACAGACCTCACAGTCACAGCAAAAACGTGTTATGTAAATAAAACAAGGAAATAAGAATTGAAATGTAAGCAGAGTCATCATTGACATTTGGTAGGATAAATTACTTCAGGAGTTTTCTTTAAAATAAATAAATAAAATGAAATAAATAGTTTACAGCTCGGCAATAGTGAGCTTGGTTCTATCTGTTACAGTGAGCTTGGTTCTATCTGTTACAGTGAGCTTGGTTATATCTGTTACAGTGAGCTTGATTCTATCTGTTACAGTGAGCTTGGTTCTATAAGTTACAGTGAGCTTGGTTCTATCTGTTACAGTGAGCTTGGTTCTATCTTTTACAGTGAGCTTGGTTCTATCTGTTACAGTGAGCTTGGTCCTATCTGTTACTGCGAGCTTGGTTCTATAAGTTACAGTGAGCTTCCTGTCAGGTTTTAACTTTATTTTGAAATGGAGAGGTTGTTTTGTGATGTTGTTTGATGACAAGTCAATTTATTTGTTTTCAGAACAAAATGGAATCCATTTTCTCCCCAGAATATGGTCTGTGTTAAGTAGAGTTCAATGTACGACAAGATCAGTAGCTGATTGGTTAGTATATTGAGGTAATTGTGATGACATTGAGGTAATTGTGATGACATCGAGGTAATTGTGATGATATAGGAAGGGAAAGAAATGCGTGCACTCCCATATTGCTTACATAATTATATATATATCAAAAATTTAGTTGTAACTTTTACTTCAAACATCATGTAACTACATGTGTAATAGTTGGGACAGAAATAACTCTGTATTGTCACTTGTCACTCATACCTGTAAAAAATGTTGATATTAGGCCACACTCATACGACATATATAAATGGTATTTAACAGACAAACGTTAATTCTCTATCAGCTGGAACAAACTTTTGCTGCATATGTAACAAATAGTGCCAGTTATCTATTTTACTCCCTCTGTAAGGCACCCTGGGCTAGTCACAGGTACAATGGTACAGATGTAGCCTGATTCTGTAACAAATAGTGCCAGTTATCTATTTTACTCCCTCTGTAAGGCACCCTGGGCTAGTCACAGGTACAATGGTACAGATGTAGCCTGATTCTGTAACAAATAGTGCCAGTTATCTATTTTACTCCCTCTGTAAGGCACCCTGGGCTAGTCACAGGTACAATGGTACAGATGTAGCCTGATTCTGTAACAAATAGTGCCAGTTATCTATTTTACTCCCTCTGTAAGGCACCCTGGGCTAGTCACAGGTACAATGGTACAGATGTAGCCTGATTCTGTAACAAATAGTGCCAGTTATCTATTTTACTCCCTCTGTAAGGCACCCTGGGCTAGTCACAGGTACAATGGTACAGATGTAGCCTGATTCTGTAACAAATAGTGCCAGTTATCTATTTTACTCCCTCTGTAAGGCACCCTGGGCTAGTCACAGGTACAATGGTACAGATGTAGCCTGATTCTGTAACAAATAGTGCCAGTTATCTATTTTACTCCCTCTGTAAGGCACCCTGGGCTAGTCACAGGTACAATGGTACAGATGTAGCCTGATTCTGTAACAAATAGTGCCAGTTATCTATTTTACTCCCTCTGTAAGGCACCCTGGGCTAGTCACAGGTACAATGGTACAGATGTAGCCTGATTCTGTAACAAATAGTGCCAGTTATCTATTTTACTCCCTATGTAAGGCACCCTGGGCTAGTCACAGGTACAATGAATAGTACAGATGTAGCCTGATTCTGTACAAAACTGTACCTAATCTGTTGTATTTGATGGCGCTGTAGTCTTTAGTATAATACTCAGTTACATAACTTCACATATTGTACTTGTACAGGAAGTCATTTTGTTTTTTAAAATCTTTCAGCATTCCATCCTTATTTAATTAACACTAATTAAAATATATATCAATATAAAAATGGTGAGGGATAATTATTAAAATGATATGATATAGATTATTTATTTACATATTTTGATATATAATATCATCAACAATTTATCTAAATTGTATAATTTCTATTGGAAAGAAATAAAAAAAATCAAACATTGTTTTATAGGTGGACAATCTGATTACTGCATCCTCCAGTAATAAGCCCACCAGTATATACTGCATTGTTAGTGGAAAACAAAAGATTTTTAATTGTCCTGTTATAAGGATAAACATGTGTGCTGTACAATACTACAGCCTAGGGTCTGACAAAACAGCATACTCTTAGTCATTGTGATACTCTCAAAATTGTCAGGGTCGGGAAACCTGTATATAGCATCTGGTCACCCGACCACCATCTCTGATATTGTCATATCCTACCCGGTAATGTATCACAGTGCAGTGAAGAATATGATTAAGTAAATCAGAGCGCTTGACTTTTTAAAAATTTGTTTCCTTAGAAAGACTTTGTTACCAGGAATGGACGACATAATGCAAGTTTTATAATTGTCCAAACTCCATTTTTGTGTGAAATTTTACTATAACATACTCAGTATTTTGATATATTTTACTTGTCATGTCAGACTTACTAGTACTTTTGATTTGTATTGGTACAAATGAGTTTCCCCCATTTTGAATTAAGTAGGGATTTAAAATTAGAAAAAAATCTACATAAGAT